AATTAATAATTATAATATCATATTATAATTATATTATAATTATAATATAATATTATTAAAATAATTATAATATTATTAAAATATCATATTATATAGTACAATATAGTTTTGCAATTTTATTATATTATAACCAAAATATTATTATTTCTTATTTAGTATTATAATATGTTTTATAATATTGTAATTATATTAACCATTTTAATAATATTATTATATTCTATATCATAAATATATAATATGTTATTTAATAATAGTTTATATTTGTTATATTTGTTGCAACATTATTATTATATTATATTTTATTACGAGCCTGAATTTTAGATTGGAAAGATTGTAAATTTTAAATGTCATTAGGTGTATTAAGGGTATCATAAAAGTTTCATTAATTGTACTATGTTGATTCCTGCCAAATCTAAAAGCTAAAATTGTCCTTAGGCTGCTTCTGATTTTGACCGTAGATTCTTCAAAAAGCACTTTTGAGGATATTTATCAGACACTAAAATCAATTTTTACTACTAGGAGAAGCCAATTTTGGGAGCGAAAAGTAATATCAAACGCAGCCAAAGTCTAGAGAGAGATTAACACTGAGTTGGAGGAATAAGAGCGAGAAAGAGAAAAGAGAAAGTGAACAAATAAGATGGAGAGACCAGGATGAGAGAAAAAGTACATAGAAATATGTTAAGATGTAAAAAAAATCAAAAACAAATTATACAATACAATATATCATAATAGTCCACCAAACATTGAATTTAGTACACTATAAACTCAACAGTTGACACCTTGTTGCGGATACAATGCATTCTCATTTTTCCAAAAGACTACAATATAGCGAGTGTGGCTTGAATGGAATATTTCAGGAGCTATTTACATGTCAAAATGAAGTTATAAGGTCTATTTTCAATAATTGAGGTCTATTTTCTATAATTAAGGTCTACTATTGATGATTGGAATCCAATGAAATCAGTCCGAGCAGATGATCGGTCAAATCATTTCCTCGGTCTATATAAAGACACTAGCGCTGAAAGCATACAAACAACATTCAGAAAATTAAGCTTACTCGCAAGACCCAAAATTCCTCTTTCTAGTTATAGTTTCCAAGACTACTATACCAAAAATGAGTATCACTATCCCAGTTCTAGCCCAAAATACTAGACCTGAAATCCCTCGGCGAACAGCCACACATCATCCCAGCATTTGGGGAGACCGATTTCTTAACTATGAGTCTAGAGACATGGAAGTATATATAATTATTAATATATATGCAAGTTATATTTTTAGTAGGATTCTCGATTAGCACATCATACTATTTTCAAACACTCCTAATAAGTTTTTGGGATGAATTGATATTAGAATGCTCTCAGAAACATTTGCATTCAAACCTTAGCCTTTTAAATTTCGTAATTTTTTGCATATGGGCCTATTGTTTCTTTTGAAAATATAACACTATTATTGGTCTCCTACTTCACAGCTTAGGATTAATGTGTGTATATATATGAGTGCCATTTTTAGTGGTTAATTACTCTAATACTTATCTATTGGCAGGCATAACAATTCAAACCTTATCACGTCATGTCATAAATTGCTATTAAAATATGACCTTTATCAGAAATAGTAACCATTATTGGAAGACATAAAAACGAATGAAAATAAATATGTGTATATGTGTATATGTGTTTATTTCTGCCTTCTTATATACCCAAATGCACGACGTATCATTTCATTTGTTTTGCCGATCATCACGTGCAAGTATATATATTTTTGTACTGCAGAGAAATGGAAGGACGAAACAGCAAGTTGAAGAACTAAAAGAAGTGGTAAGGAGGGAGTTATTCAAAAATATTGCAAAGAATTCTTCTGAACAATTGAAGTTAGTCGATTCAGTTCAGCGATTAGGACTGTCATACCATTTTAAAAGAGAAATGGAGGAAGCACTTCAACACATATTTGAAACCTATCAGAACAAAGTCAGTCATGATAGAGATTTGTATGATGTTGCTCTTCGTTTTCGGCTTCTAAGACAATACGGATATAATGTTTCATCTGGTCAGTCTCAATAAGCCAATTATAATAATTCTGTTTTTTTTTTTTTTTTTTTTTTTTTTATACGATTTATCTCCTTTAGTTTTTATTATAGAAAATTAAGTATTTTTGAAATTTAACAAAGTATTGCAAAGTGACTTCATACATGAGCTTTCATGTTACGTGGCTTCATTTAAGATTTCGTATGATTTTCACGTGCCTAAAGGCATTTCCTTTCAAATTTAGATATACACTATTTATTAATTTGGCGGCACACTGTAATATTTTCTTAAAGTTTGAGAGTAATTTAGAATACTTAAAAAGTTAAGGAGTGTCAATTCAATCAAAGTTCGAGTAACAAAAGCGGCAAAAATCTTTCAAAATAAATAAATAAATACCCATACTTTTACTGATGTATGATTTTTAATGTTGACAATCAGATGTATTTGAAACATTCAAAGATGAAAGTACTGGAAAGTATAAGGAATGCTTGGCAGATGACATCTCTAGTATGCTTGCCTTTTATGAGGCCTCACATCTAGGGTTGCATGGAGAAGACACACTAGAAGAAGCCCTTGTCTTCACCACCACTCTCCTCAAGTCCTTGGCAAGTGCTGAAAAAACCGACCGGCCGTTATCGGAACAAATAATTTGTGCCCTAAAGTGGCCACAGCTGAAGAGCCTAGAAAGATTGCAGGCCAGGCAGTACATCTCAATCTACCAAGATGATGCTTCACATAACAAAGCATTATTGGAACTCGCAAAATTAGATTTTAATCTTCTCCAATCTTTGTATAAAAAGGAACTTGGTGACATTACTAGGTAAGCCCTTTAATCGCATACTGAAATAAAGTTGATAAACTTACAGGCTAATTATTAAGAAAAGTTAAACATATTATATAGATACTTTTTATTAGTAGTTTCCACTTTATTTATAATTAATTTTATATTAAGAAATCTCTTGATTTTAGCTGATTAGATAGTATTAGGTAACTTATCCAATTTTGTAATTGTAAATTGAACTTGTATGAAACTTATTAGTGAATTGTCTCCCATTTTCTAGAATGTGAATACACGCATATTGTCAAATCACATTAAATCTTTGGGTCCTATTCTCCTTTATATTTTCTTTTTCTTTTGTTTTTTTTAATGAATTGTGCTGACTCATATTGCTTGTACTTTATAATATTGTAGGTGGTGGAAGGAAGTAGATTTCGAAAATAAGCTACCGTATATAAGAGATAGGATTGTCGAATTGTATGTTTGGGCATTGGCGGTGTATTTTGAGCCTCAATACTCGCTTGGAAGAAAAATTTTAACCAAAGTCCTCGCCTTCATATCAGTTTTGGATGATACCTGCGACTCATATGCTACATTTGAAGAATTGGAGCTCTTCACTGCAGCAATTGAAAGGTTTTGATGCTGATTTTTTCGAATCCACATATTTCCAAAACCTGCACAAATTAATGATTATTGCACTCCACTAAATAAAAAAAAAAAATTCTATATGTACCTTTATTTAATAAAAATAGAAAATTATTACTATACAATATTTAATTATTTTGTTTACTTTTATTATTTTACTATGAAAATTTTCCGATTCCATCACTACATATATTTATTGCAGGTGGGATATTAAGTTCAAGAATCAACTCCCCGAATATATGCAACTAATTTTCGAAACCCTTTTAAACGTTTACCAAGAATTTGAGAAAGAGATGGGAAATGAAGAAAGATACCGAGTTCACTATGCAAAAGAAGCGGTACATATATAGGACGATATTTAAGACCAGCTTTGTTTATCTCTTCTAATATATTTGTTAATATCTTCCACTCTAGTTTAATATTTGTGTGTTTTATAAATTATTTATATATATAAATATATATTATATATTTATATGTCAGATGAAAAGATTAGCTCGAGCTTACTTTGACGAAGCGAGATGGCTAAACCAAGGATACATTCCATCTTTGGAGGAATATTTAGACGTTGCATGGCTTTCTAGTTCTATCCCCACGATTGCAATCACGTCTTTTGTTGGAATGGGAGATATTGTAAGCAAAGACATCTTTGAGTGGGCGTTTAACGACCCAAAAAGTATTAGAGCTTCAGCAATCATTGGTCGGGTGATGAATGACATTTCTTCTCACAAGGTATAGATCAAAATACGGAAGGCCATCTTGACCAAAATCGTTTAAAAAAAAAAACAGCAAAATAATTTTAGTAGACTATTAGAGCGTTAAGATAATCATTGTCATCCAACGTCTTAATATCTTTAGAGCATATTTATCCCCCAAAATATAATAGGAAAGGTGATAAGTTTGAAACGAAAATTAAGTAAGCAAATGAGAATCAGAGAATGAGAACTTTGTATAGTTTACTTATAATCGATAAGAAAGTAAAATAAGAAATAATTCAACCCTCTTTCTAGTATTTACTTACTAATTAGGAATAGGAACCTTATAAATGTAATTACTAAATTGGCATGTTCTTACGCAATCAATTAATTATTGGCTTAATTTATGTGTTCTTGTCAAGAATATGTAAGTGCATTTAAAACTCATTCCCTTTATTGTTAAGATTGGTAATATAGGACCCAAACTACCATTTTGATTTTGTAAGTAAACTACCATTTTGATTTAGAAAAAAAAAAGTGTTCTTTTTCCCGTTGTTTCCCATATGAAGTATTAAATACACCCTAATGCAATAGCTATGATCATGACTCATGAGTTCAAGTGCAATTTTTTCTTAAATTTTTATGTACATGTAAGATTTCCTCGTTACGTAATAAGCATATGATCATTTTTTTTTTTTTTTAAATACACCCGAATGCAATAGCTATGATCATGACTCATGAGTTCAAGTGCAATTTGTTCTTAAATTTTTATGTAGTTGTAAGATTTCCTCGTTACGTAATAAGCATATGATCATTTTTTTTTTCAGTTTGAGCAAAAAAGAGAACATATAGCATCTTCTGTTCTGTTGAATGCTATACAAAGCAGCACGGAGTATCAGAACAAGAGGCATATGAAGAATTGAATAAACAAGTGATTAAGGCATGGAAAGATATAAACCGGGAGCTCCTTAAGCCAACCGTTGTGCCTATGCCTGTTCTAGTTCGAGCTCTTAATCTTTCAAGAGCAAATGATCTCTTCTACAAAGATGGTGATGGCTATACACAAGTTGGGAAAGAGACTAAAGATTCCGTTGCTGCATTGCTTATAGATTCAATCCCATTATTGTAAATTTAACTTTGTTATTGTAGTTCAGGCATTGAAGGAACTCCTCATTAATATACATATATGTGTGTGTATTAATGAATAATGTGTAGATACTAAATATAAAATCAACTGAGAATTGAAGCATATCGAAAGTGGGTTATCTTATGCACTACAACTGGCATTTTACAACACACGACGAAGCCCCGTGCCTGAAAATAGACGACGATAATAAACTGTCATCTAGACTTCGATATTTGACGATAGTTACTATTTAACCGTCGTCTATAGTGCTTCAAAACTCTCCCATTAAGATAGGCAGGTCTCAAAACCCTAAAATAAACGATGTGACATTTGAGTTGTCATATTTTTATTAGTAGATGCAACATCTTATCATTAATTGACGTGACCATGTTTTAAACACCTACTAATATAAAAATGACAACTCATATGTCAAATTAGTTAGTACATAAAAATTAGAATTTGAGTTATCCATCGCATTATTCATATTATATATGGTAGAGTTCTAGAAACAGAAATTTTTTTTTTCTTTTTCCCGTTCTCCCCAATATGAAGTATTAGATATACCATATTACAATATCTATGATTATGAGTAGTACTCATGAGTTCATGTGCAATTTGTTCTTAAATTTTTATGTAATAAGTACATGACCAATTTTTTTTTCTTTTCTTTATAGTTTGAGCAAGAGAGAGAACATATAGCATCTTCTGTTAAATGTTATGCAAAATAACACAGAGTGCCAGAGTAAGAGGCGTATGAAGAATTGAATAAACAAGTGGTTAAAGCACGAAAAGATATAAACCCGGAGCTCCTAATTAAGCCAACAGATGTGCCTAAGACTGTTCTAGTTCGAGTTCTTAATCTCTCAAGAGTAAATAATCTCTTCTACAAAGATAGTATTTAATAATTATCTATAGAAAGTAAAATAAGAAACAATTCAGTCCTCTTTCTAGTGTTTATTATATTTAGGAATATAAGAACTTTACGAATATAATTACAAAAATATCTTCTTACGTAATTAAATAATCATTGTTTTAATTTACGTGTTCTTATCAAGGTTGTTGGATGGGATTTATGCAATAATATATTTATAACTGGCATTATGCCACGTGACTATGCAAAGTCCGAACACTAATGAGTTGGGCGTTGGAGCACCCGAGCATTCGAGTGTCCGAACATCCAATTGCCTGAGCGTCCGAGTGTCCAAGCATCCGAACATCTGAATGTTCGAGGGTCCGAATGTTCGAGCATCCAAGCGTCCGAGCGTCCGAGCGTCCGAGTGCCTGAGCATCTGAGCGTCTGAGTATCCAAGCATTCGAGTGTTAGAACATTAATACTCAGACTAAAAGAGGAAGCTCAAGGATCACAAGGCAACATCGAGTAGCGTAACGGTCGGTAATTAAATGCAATTAATGATCAACATTAGATTTATATTAATTATTTATCGGTTGTAACACCCAAGAGATGAAAGAGTTTTACATTGCCATTAAAGAGAGAATAAATTATTGAATTAATGGGAGAATTAAACTCTCTATTCCCAATGTATTATAGATTCTCGCGATTTGAGAGAAAAAGACACTCAATTTTTCAGTACAATAGCCTTGAAATTATGATATTTTGCCTTTGTTCTTTCTTCGAGGTTGTTTGTGTAACTTGAGTGTGTATCCAATTTTTTTAGATTATTAGTCCGTTTGATATGAATTGTTGGTACACAAATATTGGTTAAGTGTTGGACGAAATTTTGCTCCAACAAAATTGTATAAGTTTAGTATTCATTTTCTTTAACTATAAATTAATACCGGGGAGTACTGTTATGATCGGTATTTCCTTTATTTATTCCTCATGTTATATAAGACCCATCAAACAATAATTTTAATTTTGTAAGTAAGCATATAGTTAAATAAAGTACAGAAACTGAAACAAAGAGAAATCGTGTTCTTGTTCCCCTTTCTCTTCCATGTGAAATATTAATTAATACACCCTCATACAACAGCTATGACGTTGCAAGACTCAAGAGTTCATGTGCAATACGTTCTTAAATTTTTTTATGAGTCTCGTGTATAGATTAAATCCCTTAATTTATAGATTCTCGTGTATAATTCACAGTTTCATTAGTGCTTGCTCCAATCAAAACGGAATATAAATATATATATATATACGTATATATATGTATATGTGTGTGTGTATATATATATATATATAAAGGTTCAAGAAGGTGAGGAGATGGAGGATGAGGGAAAGCGAGAGTGAGGAGAGAGATTGTGAAGAGAGGCGTGATATGATGACCATACAATATATGCACCATCATTTAATAAAAATAGAAAATTATCACTATACAAGATTTAAAAATTTTGTTTACTTTTAATATTTTACTCTGAAAATTTTTCCAATTCCATCACTACATATATTTATTGCAGGTGGGATATTAAGTTCATGTATCAACTCCTGAAATATATGCCACTAATTTTCCAAACCCTTTTAAACATTTACCAAGAATTTGAGCAAGAGACAGGAAAGGAAGAATTAATTTATAGATTCTCGTGTATAATTCACAGTTTCATTAGTGATTGCTCCAATCAAAACGGAATATATATATTTATATATGTATATATATACATGTATATGCGTGTATATATATATATATATATATATATATATGACGGTTCAAGAAAGTGAGGAGATGGAGTATGAGGAAAAGCAGGCGTGATATGATGACTATACAATATATGCACCTTTATTTAATAAAAATAGAAAATTATCACTATACAATATTTAATTATTTTGTTTACTTTAAATATTTTACTCTGAAAATTTTTCCGATTCCATCACTACATATATTTATTTCAGGTGGGATATTAAGTTCAAGGATCAACTCCTGGAATATATGCAACTAACATGACTTTCTCAGCGGTTACTCCTCATGAGTCGTATGTCCGTCTAGATCATCTGCCTCTGAATCCTTCTTCTGACAAAAACAACGATAATTCTAGTGATACTACTAATTTAGGACATTAGAGTTTTATTAATATAACAATTTGTATGTAATGAATGAGAAAATTTCAGACCTTAAATAATACAATTCATGTATTTTTAAGCCAAGGATTTTCTTAGAAAATATTATGTTATATTGTGAATGGAGGATTTATGGAATTAATATATGTATTCCTAAATTCTATAGCAAATTTCATGTTAAGTTCATGTTTCGATCAAGTAAATTCGATCGATAAATTCTCGCAGTATTTTAAGGCGGAATAATTTTCAGTACAAGTATAGTTTGAGAATCTTAATTTCAAGAATCTCTAAGCACAGCACGATGTTAGCGGCGTATAAAAAAAAACGCACTGGCATTTTAAAAGAAGAAAAAAATCCTTAATTGCTAGACAGTTAGGTTAAAGTCACAAGATAAATACCTATAGTAGATGGATACAATATGAGCTCGGGAGTTGACACTGTCAGAAACGTCATTCTTGGGATAGAATACAGAAAATTAAAATTTAGAATTTGTTCAGTCTAAAATTAATTTCAAAACTTGAAACAGTTTGAAATATTACGCGAGTAAGAATATAAAACAATATTGAATTATTCAGAAATTGATATTGGACTGTAAGTAGTAGATTAACTTACGTGAGCTAAACTAATTACCTCTAATCAGTATAAATTTAATCTGTTTAGAAGAAATAATTGAGGATAAGATCAGGCACGTAATCTTGCCTTAATCAGATACTTTATATAGTGAAATTTTTAGGGTTCTTACACTTTCTTTCTCTTATTCTCGCTCATTCTCTCTCTCCTCTCACGTTCTCTCTCACACAAACCATCAATGGCCAAATACTCAAGTTAAGATTCCGACCTCCATTTTTGACACCGCCGGTGTCAATAGAAAGATCCCGACGAGCTGAGTTCAACGACATGCGGCACGACCTCCAACTCCGCCGGAATCAGCCGCAATCGCCGGCGGAAGTTCTGAAA